CCAAGTCACTGAACCAGTACCAACCATTTCCTGCGAGCCGCGAGGCTGTGAAGCACCAGCGGCTGCTAAGCAAGGGCCTGGGTCCTGATGGTCTCCTCCCAGCTCTCCTGCACGGTCAGTTCCTGAAAGTCCCCAGCCAGGAACCAGCACACTTTGTTGCCTAGGAGCCTCTTGCCACCTTCTTGTCCTCAGTCCCCACCTGATGTCACACAGCGAGGAGCGTGGCTTCAGGTGGGGAATAACTCCCGGGGCCATGAAACCACACAGCGGAACCACAGTTTCAAGTGCAGACAGGTGCCCTCAGAGAGCCAAAACCATGGCGGGCGGAGTGTACGTCCACCGAAGTCTGAAGCCCTGAGAAACAGCAGGTGGCGTCCAGTGTGCTGCTCTTGAGTGTAGTTTAGGATTAGTTGAGTTCCAGCCTGGATTTTGAAAGAGAGGAAGTATTACCAAATCCTCTTGGGTATTAGGGTGAGGCCTTGCCAGTGGAATATTAATGGGAACGCTTGTTTAAAAAGGCAGATTCCCGGCTCCCACCCCTGGGGAGCCTGACTCTTTGGCTTTGAGGTGGGACAGGGAGCCGGCCTGTCTTCCAGCAGAGTCCCTTACAGATTGCAGGTGATCGCCTGCAGGCTGTCTCATTAACGGGCTGTGTCCGTCCTTCTTGTTACCCCCCTGAATCGCAGCTGTTTGTGTGTTTTTTATATTTTCTATATTTCTTTGGTTCTTCAAAAAGGAATGATAGAAATAAAGTTATTTGCTTTAAGATTTGTTTTTCTTCCACGTGAGAAACTTCTTCCTCTGACAGGGAGCAATGGCCTGTTTAAACCTGAAGATGTATCCCTGGATGCTTGAACACAACACCAAGGCCCTCCCCTCCGTCACCATTCCTGCCACTGTGTTTTTGAACAATGCAGCAAAAAGTTAGTATGCTCATATTCTAAAGCACATAGAAGCTTGAATCTTCTTGTCAAATAATTTCATTAAGTAGTGGCTGTTCGCAGTGACAGCAATTGTAATAATAGTGGGAAAGGAGTAAAAGTGAGCAGTGATCTCATAGCAGGTAAGTGATACCGAAGTAAAATGCCCCAAGTCTCACAGCTGGACAGGTCAGAGCGGTTGCTAGAGTACCAAAGTGTATCTTGACTCAGCGACCCGAGCGTGCGTTCCACCTGGAATGTGTTTCTCACCCACACTTGGCTTTCTCCTCATATGTAAATTGGCAGGTTAGAATGAATAAATCAGCTTCTCTATTTCAGCCCTGTTGATGTCAGTGAGAAAAGAAAAGCACAGATCTCCTCTGGGAGGAGGGACTCAATTCTCCCCCCTCCTGGTTCTCTCTGCCCCCACCTGAGGTGAGGCTAGGTTCTCTTTCTGGAGCAGCCCTTTTCTGGGCCTTGGTAGTGTTAAATCAGAGGAGCCTTGCAAAAATCTCACAGGATCTTGGAAAATCTGAGCTAATTACACCCTTTATTTTGCAATGTGGGGCCTTGGTCACAAGGGGGAGCAGACGGGTCTGGATGGATTAAAAACAAAACTGTCTTAGAATCTTCTCTGCAACTTTTCAAACTTTTCCACCCGTGTACCTGTAATGGCCAAGATTGACCCCGAAATGACCATGACCCTTAGGGAATCTGGAGGGTGGTGCTGGAAACTTCCAGCCCTGGACAAGAAAAAGGCTTAATTCTCCTTGCTTTCGGATTTCATATTTTTCCATATTACAAGTTTGTGTTATCTTAAGAATGAATTTCCCTAAGTCTTCAGGAAGTCCACCGTGATTATCCTGTGGGTTCAAACACCTCGGGAAGGGGGATCCTGTCTGTGAAGGTAGCGTATGTTTGGTGGAGGAGGTGCTGAAGTTAGCAAATGAAATGGTTCTGCCAGGCCTCTCCAGTCCATACCCCACTTCTCTTGTCTCTGGTATGCTTAATAACCAAACTTAGGTTCTCAGTGGTTGAACATTCTAGTGAACAGGTGCTACTCAAAAAAGCCTCCCTTGTCTTAGACGTTAAGGATCCACCTGCCACTGCAGGCAACCTGGATTTGATCCCTGGTCCAGGAAGACCCTACACGCCACAGAGCAGCTGTGCTGGAGCGCCACCACTACTGAGCCCGAGTCCTAGAGCCCCGGAGCCGCAACTGGAGGGAGCTGGTGCCCAGCACAGAGAACCCAGCGCAGCCAAACCTCAAAAAACAAACGGCCCCATCACAGCCCTGCATTCCGTGATTTCTCTCTGCGCTGCAGACCCTTTTTGTCAGTTTCCTGCATTTTATTGCTAAGTGTAAACGTCTTATCTATTGAGGCGTCCCCTACTTGTCCCTGTACAGGTGGGGAAATGTTAAGTTTATGTTTTAGTTGGCAGTCAAAAAGAGTGTGATAACAGCTGAAGTCCTCACACTACCCACCTGATACCCTTCAAAATAATTAGACTTCAGCTAAATTGCTTGAATCCTCACAGCAGCCTTGGGAGTAGATACTTGTACCCTTATCACAGATAAGGCAGCAGCCTCACCCACCCAAGTCGGGTAAATAGAGAAAAAAAATTTTTTTTTTCCTTTTATTTCTGACTGTTTAAAGCAAAAAATACATGTCTAAGGACTTCCCTGCAGGGGGGCCTGGGTTTGATCCCTAGTCAGAGAACTAAATCCTGCAAGCCGCAGCTAAGACCTGGCACAGCCGAGTAAACATATTTTTTTAAAAGTTAATACTTGTCTTGTGGGCATTTGTAAGGGGTGTTGATAATGCTCCGTATGACAACTACAGCATGAAATGATGGGGAGAAGAGGGTGAGCGGGGCTGTGTGTTGGTAGAGCCTCTGCGCTGTAAGTGACATGACACCATCCATAGATAACAAATAGGTAAGGATATGTTTGTGATCCCGAGCAATACTAAAAAATGCTGATAACCCTAAAGGTACATTTAAAAGAATTCTTAGAAAGTATTCAAGTAATCTCAAGAGGAGGCAGGAGAGAGGAAACAAAAACCTGATGAAAACAAAGAAGAAAAGGACCTAATACAAACAGGTCAGTAGTTCAACGAGGGGACTTCCCTGGTTGTCCAGTGGTCAGGACTCCCAGCTTCCACTGGGCCTGGGTTCAATCCCTCCCTGGTCGGGGAACTAGGATCCCACAAGACTTGTGACACAACCAACATACACCCCCCGGCCCACCGACCCCCGCAAAAAAAAAACTTGGGGCCTTGGGCCCTGTGTGTATGTAAGCTTGAAGGAAATACAGAGAGGCACAAGATGAATACCCAGTACCCATCCACCATCATTTTGCTACTCGCTGTTTCTGCTCACCATTATTTGCTGTTTATTCAATAGTGATCAATTTCAAGTTCATTCCAGTTCACTGCTGTCTGTTCTATTGTGTGACAGCAGACTTGATTTACCCTTTAAAATGATGGCTCTTGCTACTTAGGAGGTGGCTTTGTGTCTTGCCAGCACTTGGACACCTGTGGACGTCCCCTTTTTATTTATTTCTGGCTGTGCTGGGTCTTCGTTGCTGCACAGGCTCTTTTCTATTTGCGGGGAGTGGGGGCTCCTTCCTAGTTGCGGTGCTTGGGCTTCTCTTGTGGAGCACGGGCTCTAGGGTGTGTGGGCTTCAATTGCTGTGGCACCTGGGCTCAGTAGTTGCGGCTCCCAGGCTCCAGAGCACAGGCTTAGTAGTTGAGGTGCACGGGCTTAGTTGCTCGGTGGCATGTGAGATCCTCCCAGCTCAAGGGATCGAAGCTGCATCTCCTGCACCGGCAGCTGGATTCCTTACCACTGACCCACCAGGAAAGCCCCGAACATCCACTTGTGAGACACCCCTGAAGGCACTTATTGCCATAGGCAGGTAGGTACATCTTCAGCTTGACAAGGTTTTGCCAGATTCCTGTCCGAAACGATGGTTTGCGTTTCCGTTTCCCTCAGCCTGCCCCTTGAGAAGAGCCACTTTGGGGAATGCCTTGGTGGTCCAGTGGTTAGGATGCTGCTTTTCCACTGCAGCAGGTGCACATTTGATCCCTGGTTGGGAAACGAAGGTCCACATGCACCACACCCCCCGCCCCCAAAAAAACATTTTCTCTGAACTGCCCCTTTACTAGGACACCCAGGGGGAGGGGCAAGGCTGGGTGGGGTCTGAGCCTGTCTGGGCCAGAAGATGCCACAGGAGAAACATTTGGCCCATTACCCTGTTTTCTGGAAGATAGCAGTAGAAGCACTCCTTCTTGTATTTTCCTTTTTTGGGGGGCGGCCATACCACTTTGCCCTTGGGATCTTAGTTCCCCTGACCAGGAAAGGAACATGGGCCCCCTGCAGTGGAAGTGAGGCATCCTAACCACTGGCCCACCAGGGAAATCCCTCCCCTTGCGTTAATTCAACACAGGGTTTTGTGCTTTTAACTTGGCTGTACCTAGTTGTGGCATGCAGGAATTTTGGTATGTGGGATCTAGTTCTCTGACCAGGGATCGAACCCAGGCCCCCTGCATTGGGAACGCGGAGTATTAACCACTGGACAGCAAGGGAAGTCCCTCCTCTTGTATTAATTCAACACAGGGTTTTTTGTTTGTTTTGTTTTTTCAACACAGGGTTTTAACGCTGTTAGAGGATGCTTGGGCTTCCCAAGTGGCACTAGTGGTGAAGAACCCGCCTGCCAGTGCTCACCAGGTCTGTCTCAGGGTTGACACGTTCCCCGGGGCTCCTCACAGTGGGACTTCTGAGTAAGTTAAAGGTCATTCACTCATTCTGTGAATCTCAAGCCCCCTGATGTTTTTTATCCAATAGGAATAAAGTGAGAAAGTCCCCCCAAAGCCCTGTCTTCTCAGGGCTTAGCCTTTAGTTGGAGCCCAGCAGGGGTGCATGAAGGTTGGTCTCCCACAATGTCTCAGAGACATCCTTTAACCAGAGCGACAGACACCCCAGGGTGCTCCAGGCACTGCCCCGCCACCTCCTCCCAGACGAGGGTCACAGGCTGGGCCCAGGCCCCATCGCGGGGAAGGACAGCTGACAAGAGTATCCACTGTTCCAATCTGATTTTATTGAAAAGGAAACATACAAAAATCATGTACAAAAAAAATTAACCAAACATGTACAGAAAATTCATTCCAGTATCTACAGCAGCGCATATACAGTATTTTACAGGCTGGGCCATCCCTCCCCGCTCCCAGACTCCTCCCTCTTCTGAGATTTTCCCCCCCTCCCTGACTCCCCATCTCCCCCCAGCGCTTCGCCCAGGGGACTAAGGCTGGGGCTGCTTCCGCCAAAATATCCCACCCCCCAAATGAATGCCAGTGGTCACACGTGCTCTCTCTAAACCTATGCAATGGGATTGATGGGGGGGGGAGCGGGGGGTGGTCGCGGGCAGAGCACAGGATTCACAGTCTGGGCCCCTCCTGGCCACCCCCAGATGAAGGTGAGGCAGGCATGCCCACCACCTGCCGGCTGGCTCAGGGAAGATGGCTGGGCGCTGGGCCGGGGCACCCATCAGGACGCACCCCACTCTCTGGCTCCAGGAGGCTAGTGGTCACGTTTGGCTCATTTGCTCTTCATGGGCCCCCTCCCCGGGAGGAGGGGGGGAAGCACCAGGGGCCTGAGGCCAGGCCCAAAGTGAAGGAGCGCTGGGGGGAGAGACCCCCGCCCCCCAGTGTCACCGCTGCAGCTGGAATGGGCAGCCAGCACCAGCAGCCTTTCCTGAGATGGTGGTGGGCGGCAGAGGGGAGCAGCTCAGGCCCTGCCCCCTCGGTCCCCGCCGCCTTCAGACGCCGAGTCCGTCAGCCCTCTCTCCCCTGGCCCCTCAGCCAGGGGCCCAGGAGTCCACGTCTCCATCAGTGCTCCCCGGGGCTAGGCCGGGGCTGGGTCGGGAGTGGCTGCCCTGGCCCGCCCTGGGTTGGGCAGGGCTGTAGTCCAGTATGCTACATGGTGCAGAAAGAGTCCCCCGCGCTGGCCAGGGCGTCGGGAGTTGGGAGGGTCCTGCCCCCCCGAGCCCCCGACATCCACCGGGCGGGTACAGGCACCTAGTTGGGCTCCACCTCGGGGGCCCTGCGGCCCCCGGGGAAGGGCAGGAGTCCCATGATGAGATTGTACAGGACTCTCCAGGGCGAGGGGCCGTGTCGCTGCTGCTCCTCTTGTCTCTGGGAAGGGAGCAGAGAGAAAGTTAGGCTAGAGACGACGGGGTGGGGTGCGCAAGGGGTCAGGTTCAAGGGCAGCAGGGAGGTAGGCACAGTCCCTCCACCAGCCCACTGAGGGCCATCCTGTTATTACTGTTCATTGGGTCATCTCCTGGCCTGGAAGAGACTAGGAGAGAGACGATGTGGATTAGGCCCTCAGCATAGAGCCTGTGCAGATCAGCAGACTCCTAGTCCCTGGTCTCCAGATGAAGACAGTCACCGACCGAAGTCACCCGGGCTTGAGAGCTAGGCTGGACCACAGCCCACCTGCCCTCCCATTGAAAGCTGATGAGACACACAGAAGGGAGCAGACAGCCCTCCTGTCTCAGCGATTCTAGAACACTTTCTGCAGGAACTGGGAACTATTCAGTGCTGAAGCTGTACAAAAATATGTTTGGGCCAGGCGAACCCCCAGCCCTTTCCCGAGTGGCAGGATGAAGGCTGGGGGCAGCCTCTGGGACCATCTCAGTTCCACAATGCTAGGAAAGTGGGAATGAAGGAAGCTAAATAGAAAAAAAGGCTGCCCTCCAATAAAAATCAACAACAATATTCAATACTTATGGAGAGCTACAGTTCTCTCCACTCTCTGTGCTGAGTGAAGGCCTAGGTCCTGTGAGAAGGAACTAATCTCATCCCCACCAGATGGGAAGAAGAAACCCATTTTACAGATTCGAACAAGAAGGTCAGATCAACCATGCAAATGATCTTCATGGGTGCCTGGGGGTGGGCTGCCTGGTACGTTTGTCTCTGCCTCAGTCCCCACCGAATTTTCCAGCCAGGAGAAGGTGACCAAGGGGCACATGAGATTGGCAGAAATGCCACTGTCCCACTGTGGTGTGCCACTTGGCACAGTCACCTTGCTGAGCAAGCCAACTATCATTCATCAAGGCTAGGGCCCCTAGGCAGACCACCCAGGTATCTACTGTGGAGACACATGTGTGTGCCTGGAGATATGCATTTTTTGAAAGAGCCAAAAGAAATAACAATAAAAGTAAATTACATTAAAAAATTTGAGACACTTCTGGAATATCCTAAATACCCACCAATGAGAAAATGAAGACGGATACCACATGGTGATCCAATCGAATGCTATGCGATGTGGCAGTAAAAATGAATGAACTGAAGCTCCCTTGCCCACGTGGATGTATCTCAAGCATAACACTGGGGGCGGGGGGGAGGTGGGAGCAGCTTTGAGAGGAACACACCAGATCACGTTTATTAAGTCTGAAACGCCTCGCAATCCTAAGTATTGTTTGAAGGCCTGGTGAATGTGTTGTAAAAGAATCAACACCCGCGGACCAATGGGTCAAGCCAATCTGCGAGGTTTCCTTTGAAAGCGGGGAGGGGAAGAGGGTCAAGGGGCTTCGCAACATCCGGTTTTTGTTTTTTCCTCGAATAAGCAAGCAGTGTGGCTGTAACGTTCAGGTTGGACAGAGCAGTGTGGTGGGCGCCCGGGTGTCTGTTATTCTCCGTTCCACCGCCTCAGGCTTCAAGTATCTGGTTGTAATGAGAGGCCTGGCTGCGCGCCCCGGGGGGCGGGGCCTCCGGCGGGGCGGAGCTCCAGGACCCGCCCCCAGCCCCCTGGGAAGCGGGGTCGCGGCACTGGCCCTTCGGCGGCGGCTAGGCGACCACGCTGCCCCTCCCTGCTGCCTGTCCCCGGCGCGACCCCGCCGCGCAGGGCAGCAGCTGCTGCACATCTGGCTGGGCCGCCGCAGCCCCCTCCCCGGCGGGAAGTCCCACCTGCCGTCTACCCCTCCCCCAGCACTCACCCGCCGCTCGTACAGCGCGTTGAGGTCGTCCGCCATCCGCCGCAGCTGGGCCCCGATCTCTCGGGCCCACTGCTCCTCCTCCCCCCGGACTCCCGGGGCCGCTTGGGTGGGGCCGCCCGCCAGGGCCCCCGGGGCGCTCGGCACTGGCGATTCCAGGTGCTGCTCCGCTGGCGAGAGTGAAGGCTGAGGACCTGGGAAAAGCCGGGGCCGGGTCACACCCACCACCCCTCTAAGACCCTGCAGGGGCCCGGAGGAGGGCCGGCTGGCTAGGACTTGCTTCTCCCTTTTCCCGTCGCCTGACTTCTCTTCGGATCCCCACCTCATCTCGAGCGATGCCACTTTGCCAGCCCTCTTAAGAGCTAGATTTCTTACCTCTACTCCCCGAGGGAAAAAAGAATTCCTGGGCAGGCTTTCCTGGGCTCACCTGTCTAGCCAGTTACCACCCCACTCCCCGTGTTAGTCTGGAAGTGCTTCCTCTTGTCCTACCAAAGTTGTTTGTTGATGTTTAGGTCGCTCAGTCGTGTCCGACTCTTTTTGCGACCCCATGGACCGTGGCCGGCCAGGCTCTTTGCAAAACGATTGCCAAATTTTGACTGCTCTACTCAACCAACAGGGAAACTGAGGCTCCCCCTAGGAAGTGGCCCAAGGTCACACAGGGATACGGGGACTGACTACACCCCGAGTCACAAGCCTCGGGTCTCCTGCCCTCTAGTGTCCAACCACAGTGAGGCCACACCCCCGGATGTGGCACAGGCCTGTAAACCAGAAGGCCGGCCCGTGGCCCCCTGTGAGCCTGGAGGCTGGGATGCGGGACGTCCCCGCGCACTTTCTGCGTTCCTCTGACGTCTCTTCCTCCCTCTGTCACGCCGGGTCCTGGCTTGAGCGATCCCTGAGAACTAACCTCGGCCTCAGTTTCCATGCCTGTGACTCTGGTCTAGGAACCGGGTCTCCTCCTGCCTCCGCTGGCCAGGGAAGTCGGCCCTCTCCTGACCTCTCCAGGCTTCGGGGACAGGTGGGGAGGGGAGCGGGGACAACCTCTCCCCTGCCACCGAACGGGCCGGCCGGGCACCACGGAGTTAACAGCCCAACAGGCAGGGGACCTTTAACCCTTCCCTCCCCAAGACCCGCTCCCCCACCCTTCCCCCTAGACAATGGCCCCTCCCCCTCCTTCCTCCACTCCGGCTGCAGAGAGGGCGGGCCCTGGGCAAAGAGATGCAGATAAAGGCGCCAGGCCACCCTCGACCCCTCCCCGAAGTCCTGAAGTGACAGTCCCCTCTGCCCACACTCTCTCCAGCTGCAGTCCTCACGGGGCTCCGGGGACCCAGACCTGGAGAGGGTGGGGGGCTGGGAAACAGCTGTTGCGCGGGGCCCGGAAAAGGCCGTGGGCTGCAGCTCGCGGACTGCAGTCCGATTCCAGGAGGGACTTCCCAGTCGGCCTCTCCCCACCCCCCAACCTCCCACTCCGTCTTCCTGCTTCTTGCAACACAAAGACCACAGTGGCCACACCCTCCCGTGCCCCGGCCGGCTCGCCACCTCCCGCGACTCACTCCCCTTTCCCGGGTTCCTCGGGGTCTCTCTTTTCCCAGCTCCCGGCATCTCGGGTGCGGGGCAGGCACTCACCGTCGGGTCGCGGGCCTCGGGGCCGGCTGCGGGGACCCTCAGGCCAGCGGGGGGCCCCCAGGGCGGCGGTGACGGCGGGCGGGGCGGTGGGGGCGCAGAGGTAGGCGGCGGGCAACAGGGCGGGGGCGGCCGGGGCAGCAGGCAGGCCGGGTTCGCAGAGGCCGCAGGACACCGCTGAGGGCACCAGGCGGCTGAGCGGGAAGGGGCGCGGGCCGTCGCGGGCCAGGCCCTCTACGGGCTCCGGGGAGCTGCCCTCCTGGCGTGCTCGGGCCATGGCGCTCCCTGGGGCCTGCGGGACAGGGCAGAGGGGTGCGGTCATCAGCGGGGCAGTACAGGGGGAGCCCCACGAGGTACCCACCCCACGCGGGGTACACAGGGCGCCCTACTTCTGCCTGCATGGTGGGCTGGGGCAGCCCACCAGGGTCCAGGACACAAAGCTGTGATGGAGGGGGCTATAGGTGTGTGTGACGGGCCCTCAGACACCCCCGTCCCGAGGCTGACCCCAGGCCCAGCCAACCCAGAGAGCCTCCCCCGAACATGGTGACCGGCATACAGGAGGGACCAGGGACGTGGAGGCACAGGATGGTTCTCACAGCAAGGACAGGGGCTCATGCAGGTCCCAGACTTGTAGGCCTGTCAGCAGCGTGAGTATAAGGGCTGACAGCCCCCCAACACAAAGTCACCCAACCTGGGACTCACACAGGGCCTGGGCTGGCAGGGTTAACTTTTGGAACACAGTAATGGGCGCACGCACACATGCGTGCGCACACATACACACACACACGGAGGGCAGCCAGGCACTGCGATTACTCACACAACAAACACCAGTACTCACACAGGACCAAGAGGGGGTGTATGTGGAGGGTACACAACACACACACAGGGCTCACGCAGGACTGGCCCGCCCAACCTCTCACCAGGCCTGCTATTTGTACCCCAAAACACTGAGAAGGTCCCAGGACACACACACACATACACACAGACCACGGAACAGCTATCCACACACTGCATGCTGGCTGGTACACCCCAGCCCCTCCATCTCAAAAACAGATACACGAACTGTCAGGATCTCACCCACTGACCCGCTGTTAATATGCCCACGGAGCCACAGAGACTCACAATGCGGCCGTCACAAGCACAGACAGACACACCAGCTGGGGCACTGTCACTTCTCAGGCACACGTGCCCCTCCCCGTAAGGCACCCGCAACAGATAAGACCTACACCCCTCCGGACTCACACACATATCAACACAAAACAGACCTCCACGGACACACAGGGACCTGTACAACTGCAACACACCCACTTGTCACCAACTCTCAGATCCCAGGACACATGTAAAGCAGGCACACATGTCATCAGATCTAGATGAATCGCCACATGCCAGCAACAACACGGACAGCAGACATCAACCCACCCTCCTCCCCCAACCTCCAAACACCATTACCAACTGTCAGCCCTGGACACGCGCGCACACACACTACAGCTAATCCCACACTGGCCTGGCAGGGCGCACACCTAAAGCACCCTCAGAAAACACTGGTCTCACGTGACTGACATAAACACTACACACACGCAGCCCACATGACACGCATGAGCCAGCCGATCACAGAGACAAGCCCCTCAGACTCAACACACGCACTGTCTCTCTCTCTCTCTCACACACACACACACACACACACACACACACACGGGCTCAGACACATCCCTGTACAAGAAGCTGCCAGCAGCACCTACTTACTGCTCTGCTGAGACCCCACAGAGCCTAGCTCCTCAATTCCCAGTCGCGGATCCCAGACACACAAGCCAAACACAGACTGAGACAACCCCCCACCACACACACACACACACACACACACACACCCCGCAGAACTCACACAGACACCTGGACAGAAAATAGACATCCGCAAACGCTGAGCTGAGCCAGATGCCCTGGAGATAGACACAGACACAGTCCACACAGACAAGACCCACAGCACTCACAAACACAGCCCGTCGGGCAAGATGCACACGTAAACACACAAACAGCTCACTCAGGCAACGCACACACACACCACAACGCAAGCAGGCAACCGGGAGCCACAGACTCACCCCCAAACAGCTCACACAGACAACTCTCAGAACACACACAAGTACACCACACATCAACACAGCGCCCACCCCTCAGGCGCCGCAGCATACACGGAGAGACCCCCCTCACACACACACACGGGGACGGCGCCGCACACCCCGACGGGGCCACAGCCCCAACACGCGCCGGGACTGGCACAACCACTCCCTGCAGACCCCAGCACAAACTCGGAGCCAGACACGCGCACAAACCCAGGCGAGACACCTGCAGATCCACCACCCCGCACACGCGCGCTCCCACGGCGGGCCCAGACGCCCCCCTGCGCTGTCATAGTCCCCCCCCACCACGCCGCCGCCGCCGCCACGTGCGCCCGCCCCGCCCGCCAGGCGAGCGCGGGGCCAATAACCGGCTGTTGCTGGGGCGCAGCCCCCGCCCGCAGGAGCCGCAGACTCCTCGGCCCGCGAGCCGCCCCCTGTCGCCGCCCCCAGCGGGCACGCGCCCGGGGTGTGGCCGCCCCTCCACGCCGTTCCCCCCCCA